TAGAAGGGAATTTTTTTAAAAAAATAACTTATTTAAATCTACTGTGCATATTACAGATCAAAAAGCTTCACATAATTCTAAGCAGGTTGAGTTTTCCCTAATCTGGTATCTCATTCCAGATTTTGAAATGGGATAACCTCCAGTAATATTCAAATAAACCTGCTAGCTTGATTATCTGACTTGATCTCAACATCAGAGATATTCTGGGCAAATGTACCTTAAATAATTTTCTAAGGAAATCTTATATAAGTCTCCCTTATTTGAAGATTTTTTTTTTTCAGAAGAATTTTATCAGTACCAGTTTCTGATTAAGGTGTTCTTAAGTCAAGCATTACCGATTTCCTGTCATTTCCCACTCCTCCCAGAAACACTAGTTTCTAATTTTCACTGGATAATGATAAGCTGAAGATAATTTTAGAAAATAAAATAACTTTAATGGATCTCCTAATGGACGTTGTTGGTTATAACTTCTCTCAGGCTATTACTAAAGAAAATATGGGGACAAATCCCTGTTTGCTAATCTTGGTTGTCCCCTGTTGTTACTGCTATTTGCTGCAAAAATTGTGAAATTTGAATCAAGGCCCTATTGAACCCTAAAGATCACTCCTGCAGTGATTTATCATAGTCACAAAGTAGCACTGTTAAAAAAGGGCTTTTTTTTAACAGTTACTGTCCCCGCATATGTGAGTATAATTACATGTTACAAAATTATCAGAGAAAAAAAGAACATGTTAGCCTTTATATAAGGCAGTACTAGTTACACTGGAGTGCAAAACTAATCTTTAGGTCAGTTTTGAATCAAGCTTGCTGGTTTGTGCAGTAAACCACTCAGCTGAGTCTTGAGAGGAGATGACCTTCTGGCTTTGTTTTCACCACAGCAGAGGCAGGTGAGATCAAACTTTGTACTGGTCTGAAAGTTTTGGAATATTTCTGGATGCTGTTGGAGATGTTGCTGCATTTAAACTCAGAGCAGCAAGTTCCCCCAGACTTTTGCTGGGGGAATTTCTATATGGATACAAGCATACTTGAACACAAACTTCAGTACATAGCTCTGATGTGGCTAAGGTAGAAGCGAACAGTGGTTCTCTAGACTCATCAGTGGGAGCACCTTAAAATAAAAAATCCTGTCTGGAGGCAAAGCAACTACATCCTCTGAGCAAAACTCAACCAGCATTTAAAAAAAAAAAAAAAAAAAAAGAGTCTGGGCTTCGCCGGACACCGAGGCTATGTTCATGGTAACACACACACTTCAGCTGTAATTCCCATGTTTATTAGAGGTCTTCAAATGCAGGAGTCAGTAGCAAACATACTGTATACTAAGAAGGATTGTAGTGACCATGTTTTACTTGCTTTACCTGTTTCACGTTTGCAACATGCATTTCTTGACTTTGCCATTAGACTCTGATGCTTCTAAATTGTTACGCAAAATGCCAAAAGATCAGTCATTAATTGGCCACAATTAAATTGGATAGGATAATTACAAGACCGGCATGACACACAGAGAAGTATAACTTCACAGATGAAGACAACAGAGGGGAGAAATATGCTGTGAAAGGGAAAAGCTGTTCACATTAAAATAAGGATCAGAAGTCAAAACTCATCAAGTTACTGGCAAAATAGTTTGGTTTTGTATACATCTCTTTCCCCATCTTTCCATCACATGACAATCTTCTCTTTAATGTGTTAAAACTGAAAAGATCAGTAAGGTCTAGGAAGGAGTACAGCATGAGCTCAAAGCATACAGTAGCAATTGCCTTGTGATAAAAGAGCAGAGCTCATTAATCAGAGATGGTTAAGGCACCAAGAACTCATTTGTCCCTCTGCTGCTCTGGCAAAATGAGAATTGCCATACTGTACAAATACTTGTTTAGCATCTGGACAACTTTGGTTTAAATTTCAGATGTTGGGCTACTTTTAGGTCATTAAACAACATAACTGAGAAACAGAGTAGATGCCCTGTTGAGTTACAATGAATGATCTTGTGTGGTGCAATATATAGAGTACAAACAGAACAAAGAGTAGTATAGAGCAAAATGTGCTTTCAGACACATAGTAATGTGACTCATACTTCATCTCCCTGAACCTTTGCACACTTTACAGTATTTGGAACTGAGCATCCTGTATAACAGAACATATTAATCTCTGCAGCCAAGTCTATCGGATTTGACTAGTGTTGGTTTTGCAATACAGGATGACTTAACACATATGCACCTGTATAATGTTCTCTTCACTTAGTGATAAAACACTGCAGCAGCAATTTGAGGAATAAAATTAACTGAATAAAAATGCAAAAATAAATGGACTACCAATACATTAATTTGCTTAAAGCAATTTGAAAGTGAGAAAAAAATACCAAATGCATAAATTTTAATTATTAAGTACACTACTGTTTATTTTTTGAGCTCTATATTTCAGAAAGTGATGGTCTGAAGTACTGAATCAGACGACAGCTTAACAAAGCTATGGAAAAATGGTTCAGCTATGGCATTAAAATTACTGTTACAGACACGGAGGCTAGAAGTTTCTGGCTCGTATACCAACATAGGAACATATGGGTTCAATCCCACCAGAAACTGTAATAGAGAATTATTTTCCTTCCATCCATTTCACTAGACTTACACAGGACTTAATATGACCCAAAATCTCTTCTTAGAAAGGAGGACTGGAATAGCCATGTAATCTGCCTGTCAGAGGATCCATATATGCACCTTAGCTGTGAGAAATAACAAGGAGTTAAAACAATCTCAATTTTTTTCAGACATCATCATCTCATGAGAGTAGAACTTGACTTTTTCACTTTCAATGACCTCCCTGCACAATACCCAACTCATATTGTGACTCTACTTTTTCTGCATGTAGGTCTTGCCTGCATTTAAATTATGTTTTACATAAATTTTACATTAGGATAGCAGTAGTTCTTTTAAAATAATAATAGAACAAAGTCTTAATGAAGGTACTTCAACAACAATTAGAGCCAAAAATCCACCCTAAAAAAAAACCCCAACAACATTGCTTGCTAAATACATGCTCTATAAGCATGAATGACTTGCTTCTAAACCTGGTAAATCAGAGTGCAACATTCACAACTCCTATGACTCGTCAAGCCCACCAGTGGTTAGAAAAATCTAGGATACATTATCCCAATTTTTACTTTTTAGAGAGAAAATTATATTTCTATTTATTATGGAGAAGATGACAGTAATGTGACTTTAAATGAGAAATGAAGTGCCTACCCACCAACAAGAAAAGCAGCTTCCTTAAATTGCCCAGCACAGGATGTCAGGCTAATGACATCATCATAAGACCAGCTTTGGTACTTCCAGGCTTTGGTACTTCCAAACCATCTTGTTGCCAACTGCAAATAAAGTGGGGGTTCCTTCCAAATAATGGGGATGTCAAAGAAGAGCCTGTGAACAGGCACAATAGGAGAAACTGACTGCCACTGCTCAAAGCTGGAGCTGCCATAAGGTGGACATGTCCCATCATTCCATGCAGTAGGCAGACAACCTGATGGCGTCATGGCCAGAAATCAGATGGGAAGAAGGTTGGACTGGCCTCTTACTGGAGAGTTGGAAGTGCAAAATTTGGACAGGCACAAGGACACCTTGCTGGAATTTTATTTCCTTGTGAATGTCACTTGGCTTTCACTTCCTTTGGACTGGAGGGGTTTTTTGCACCACAGAATTTTATTCTGTGAAGGAAGGCAGATTAAGTGATAGTAAGCAGCAGGAGAAGATAAGGTATTATCCTAGGGACTAATTGCACAGTTGGGGGATTTTTTTTTTTGTTAGAATAGATGGAAATTTCCCACAAAGAGAAACACAGGCTTACAACTGCTGGCAGAATTTTCTAGCTCATACTTGAATAATAACATAAAGTAGAAATAATCATGATCTAATTGTAGACAATTTGTTAATCAAAAAATTAGCTGAACAAATTGTTCTTCCTAGTATATAAGTTAAAGTTAAAATACACACACAACAGGGAACATTATTCCTGAAGTATTTATGACTGCAGGATACCCGAAAAGTACTAAAAATAAAACAGGAAAACAATGACTTATAAAAATTTCTCCTTTTAAATATATAGTTATACAAAACATGTGGTCCTCAAGCAACTTGGTCTAATATTGAAGACAGCCCTGCTTTGAGCAGGGGGTTGGACAAGATGATTTCCAGGGGTCTTTCCAACCTAAATGGTCCTTGGATTCTATCAAATGCCCACAATTAATAAGTTTGTGTCAGACTACTTCAAGCCTAACAATCTTTCTCAGGTTTAACAGCAGAGATGGGTTTAGACTGTAGTGGACAGGGCTGAAGTCCTCTCTGAGCAACACAGTTTATCCTCATTCTCAGGTTGTCCCATCAGGCCTCAGCTGCCTTGTCCTCACTTCCCACCCAACCCTGTAACACCACATGGTTTTAGCTTCCTCCTATTGCAAGCACCAAGTGGATGTGCAGCCCCTGAACAATCTGAACCATAATGTATCAGGATCCTGTGTGACAAATGAGGGCAGTCAGAATGAGGGCATGACAGGGAGCCCGTCCTCTCTCTTCCTTATTTCCCTCTGACTCAAATGCATCCACATGAACATGACAGCACACTTCCATCTGCTGAGGGAGCTGCTGTCTTCTCCTGCCACCCTCTCTCTGCATATGGATGTGCTTGCATGTGGACTGCACACTCCAGAAGGCAGATGCTGCTGGATTTTAATCCATCTGAGTTCTCTGATGGATTAAACCTCAAAGCTGTAACTGTGCTTCTTAACGCTGCAGTAAGTAACACACACATTGGTTACACTGATTTACAGCTGAAATAAAAGTGAAAGACAGTCAAAATGAAACATCAAAAAAATCAATCTATGTTGTGAGTGGATGGGACACTAAAGCTTTCTGGATTATTTTCTCCCACCACCCTTCATCCTGCCCAGTGCCTGATGAGGCAAAAATCACCAGCTGCAGCAATAGAAGTTGCAGGTACACATATTACCCTCCACCTACCTGTAACCCTTCAATAGCCAGTTTGAGGATAGATGGAGTAAGCTTGGAGGCTTGCTTGAAGGAGAAGTTGCTCCAATCTATAATTAGAATGAATCCATTTATCTGAAGCTCCTGATCTTCAATGAGCACTTCCAACGACAGTAGGATAGCCCGAAGGATATCTATGAAGGAGTTCCTAAAGCCCAAGCAGAAAAAAAAAAAAAAAAATCAATGCTTGCAGTTATTCTCAAACCTCAAGGTACTCAGCTTTGCTGTAGATGGGGAATGAGCAAGAGGTGGGGATATATTCTGGTGGAATTCTTCTGAAAATAGAGTTGTTTCAGAGGTGTCACTAAAGCATTCGTGCTCTGAAACTCACGTTCCTCTGCTTGATGTGATAAGTCTTGCTCATTGGTGAATAAAATAAACCCTGAATTAAATATTTTAGATTCTTCTGGTATTCCTTACAATAGATTTTAGCTAAGCCATTTTGGGAAAATATTTCTCTGTGGTGAAATGAAACAGATTCAGACTAGCAGTTTAAATCCTTTGGATATACTTTACAGATTTTTTTTCTTTGGGTTTTTTCCCCCTCCTTTATTTCTATTAGAAAGAGGAAAATCAGAAAAGGAAATAATTTGGTACGATATTAATATCAATGGTATGGTTACAATTAGGCCCCCTGGCTTCCTGCTTGATTGGAGGGAATGATCCAAGATTTTGCATAATAAAGTTGGACTGTTGCTTTATTTCTGCAAACTAAATGCAATATGGAAAATAGCTCCATCCACTTAAAATGGGAACTCTTTATTAATTAGCAGCTACCAATAGGCTGTATGCAAAGCTTCTCTCAGCTCTGGGAGAACAATTAGAAACCTTGGAGGCCCTGGAGTAGATAGCAAGTGACAGAGAAGAAAATGTTGAAATGTTTTCTTTAATGTGAAAGTCTGCACTGAGAAGCCCAGGCCACTCTCTACTTCCATCTCATGCATTTTACAGAAGCAAGTTGGACACTTTAATGACTTATTCCATATTTACATCTGAGTAATCTGAATCAGGCCCTCTCATCAACTGTCCTTCCCACTAAGATGATTTACCAAAACCAGATTCTTTGAGAGAGCAACAAGTAAGAAAAGCTTCAGAAAGTACAGCTTAACCTTCCTTAAAATGAAATTGTAACATACTGCTATTGCAGTCTGCTTTACCTCAAAAATTTACATCAAAATTCTCAAATTTTGGTGAGGTCTGAGGTCTATTATAGGGAAGACTCCCACCATCTTCTCCCATGGAGATTTTAATTTAATCCTTTTCTGCTGTTTTCTTTAATTTAAAACAAGTTACCTAAGCCTACAAGACTACTGTTTCAAATTCTTCCTGAGAGGAAAAACCTATGTACAGTAAAAACAAACTTCTCTGCCATCAAGACCTCTACCCCTGAACAGAGGCAACACATGAAAAATTTTTACTGGAAGTAAATGGTGAAGTGTTTTCTCATTCTTTCTTCTCTCTCAGTAGATTTCGAGTGGAAATCTACTCTAAAGACAGAGTCCCTTGAAAAACCTGTTTCTGAACTGTGCATCTCTGCCTAAGTTAGAAGCTTCTCTGAAGTACAATTGCTCAGGCAACTTGCAATACATAAAGATATTTAACTTTGTTGCTGCTTGGTACCAGACCACCCTTCCCTCATTTCCAGTAACAGGACAAACTTGACCTTTTAAAATCGTATGGGGAAGCTGTGCTAAATGGACAAATGGAAGGAGTATTTTCCTTAGCAATGTAAGGTGAAGGCATACCAATTGGATTGGCAACTGACATTTCTTTTTATTCTAAATTTATTTCAAAATTAATATACTACCCATTGCTCAGCTGAAACAGGTGATGACAAACAGCAGCATCAGATTACTAGACTTTCAGTGATTAAAAAAATGATTACACCCCTAGATTACTCTACCCCAGCATCCCTATTCAAGGGGGTCAGCCTTCCACAAGGACTGCCCTGTGGAAGCTCGTAGAGGTGTGCAGTGGCTCCAAAAAGATCCCCACACACATGCCAGTCTTCTCCACTCTCTTGTTGGCATCAACACAGAATGATATTATCATTCATGGATGGGCTTTCTGGCTAGATCACAGAAGATGGACTAATCCAGAGCTTGATTTAACCCCACATTTGCAAACCTTGGAATGAACTAAATACTTGTTATTACTGAAAGTGTGAAAACAGTGATAGGAAATGGCTACATCCTTTTTTTTTTTTTGTGGAAAGAAGTTTTCTTAATAAAACATTTAAACTCATATTCATGATCCTGCTACCTCTGATGCTTTTAAAGGCTGTTTAATGATTTTAGTAGGGCTGTATGGAAATGATGCATACAAGGCATCTTCTGTAATCCACTTAAACTCTAAATCACAATGAAATATTCCATTTGACTGAGAGCAAAATCTTCCTCTTGGACTCCATGCTGAGGAATTCCAATTTTTATTTGGGTATCTACATGAATTACTAGGTCATCAAGCAATTACTGACCTGTACTTCCCTGTACTTTCAGTAATTATTTGCCTGGGAGATATAACACACAGTTTTACTTAGTGTGTAACTAATCTGGCTGTCCCCTGCCCAGATTCCCAGCCCCTATCCCAGCCCCCCCCCCATGTATTTGCAGTTTTAAGACATGATGTAGGAAATAACTCAAAGTGAACACAAAGAGGTTTTTCAGATGAGTACAAGGAGACATGAAAACAGTGCACAAGTCCTCCAGGTGGGCTGTTTGCAGGCACTCTGTTTTGTGAATGCAGGGTCTGGATAGAAATCAGACAGAGTGCCACTTGAGGCTGAAGCCCTCTGCTCCCTAATCTGGAGGCTTTGAGACAAATCATTCAGCTGTGTGACTGATTTGCATCCAAATAATTTTCTATGCACGAACACAGAAGCACTTTCTATTAGTCCATCTCTTTTGTTCCTTTGCTTAGCATTCCCTTCTCTCCTCCAACCCACCTCCCCACCAGTGTAACCCTCTCACACACCAAAAAAGTGAAATAAATTACTATTACACAAAGGGAAATGTGTAAGGTGCTTTAAGGATCCAGCATGGAGTCTGCTGAAGTGAGTCACTAATGAGTTACAAAAGATTTGCACGAGCCCCAGAAAGACAAAAAGGAGGAGGGAGGGAGAGGGTCTATCTGCCTTGGCTGAATGGAAAGGTACCACAAAAGAGGCTATTCAAATATCCTTTGGAAAATGGGAAGTTAGCCCAACAGAAGCTAGTGGTAAGGAACAATAATGTAAAACAAAAATGAAGATGGTTTAGCTGAGGGATTTGGTGGGGAGATTAGCCAAAGGCATAACATGAAAATAAATAAGAAGAAATTACTTAATTATAAGAAGCGTAAGCAGGCTGTGAGAGAATCAAAAGGCTCAGTGGAGTACCAGGGTGCAATGGGAACAATTAAAGAGGATAAAGACATTGTAGGAAAATTAAATGATCTATTTGCATGTCTCTGCCACCAGTCATTTTGAAGAGATACATGGATAATAAAGCTGAGGGACTGTTGAAAAATAAGGAGTCAAATAAGATACACTGCAAGAAAGTGATACACTTTAGAGAAGATAACATCAGTAAAGGCTTTTGACATTATTCTCTCTGAAAGTTAAGCATAGACTCTGTTTTAGGCATGTTAGTTAAATTAGTTGGATTATTCAGATGGTTAGTACTGGCAGCTGAAGCCATTAAGATTGTCTGGTAGTAAGCAAAACCAAATTGCCACTAAAAATACTGACCGTCTCACAAGATAGCAGGCTAACAAAGTCTGGACCAGTGTCATTATCCTGGCAGTTGCACACAACTCAGCTTAACATCCTTAAGTCAGTATGCTGTAAGAGCCTCCCTCCTGTAATACTTAAAAGGTGTCTTAGTTAAATGCAAATGCAGATAAAAGGGGTTTCTTTACTTGCTATGAAAAGTCTTGGGATACCAAGTCAAAGAATTTATTGCCTTTTAAAAGTAACAAAGAGGTGACACTACATCATCATATTTAACATAAGATAACAAAAGACTAAGCAATATAAAACTGGTTTCATTAAGCCTGTTTGAACACCTAAGGAGAGAAGATGGTATAGTACACCACAGCCAAAGGTGAATAACATTTATCAAGCTGCAAACATGGCATAGATATCAATCAGGTAAGAGATCACACCTCACTTTTTTCCCTCCCCACACAGTAAAACATCAGCGGAGAGTAGAAATGCATACTTAGCTTCTAGAGGGGGGAGTGTTGTTACTGCCCTGCAAGGAGCATTCCT